TTTCAGGTAGCGGGCTGCATCTTGCCAAGAAACACATCCTTCTTCTGAGCTTGAAGGAACAGAGCACAGCATGCCACGCGCATGCAGTGAGGTTGATCTTGACTTGAATCCCCGCACTCCGTACTCCAAAGCATTCGATGGTGCATCCCGCTTTAGCTTACGGTGTCAGGACCTTACTGGAATATTTTTTGCTTCTATCTGTGTTTGACCAGCGTGCTTTTGCGGCCTTATTTGTTGCGACTACATGGCAGAAGCAACGTAGAGCCTCAAAAAAATTCACCCAATCCACCTCGCTTCCTATAACCCGCGTCGATATTCGCCGCCTTCCAGTCGTTGAACAGCCCCCAGACCTGCGATCTGGTCAAGCTCCCTTTCGAGCTGCGGAAGTACTTGTGTCTACGAACAGGCTTTCTGTGGACGCTGAATTAATCTGCCGGTCGTGAGATCGCAATACCAGGAGCATTGCGTGATTTGGTCCCAGCTACCTGCCAGCCCACGACCTGAACAACGGTGAAGGCAGTAGAAGGGACACTTTTCTGGGATCTTAGGCTGAACCATCGGAATCCAAGGCTGAACCATTGGAATCAAAAGAGGCGTATATTCATTTGAATCCATTGGACGCCCGGTGGATTCCGATGATCGCCAGAACCACTAGATTCCGTTGCATTCCGGGATAGCCGTGTAGTAGCAGGCGAGCCGCATTTTGCGAGAAGCACGACCTGAAGTTCTGGTTCTGGCCGGGATTTCTACGTAGCTCGATGACGCCCGTCCAAGTTCCGACACGACGGGCTATCATATGTACTATGTCTATGCCTGACGATTCACGAACGAGTGGTTGAGTACAAGTAGTTCGAAACATCGAACATGAACTAACCTTGAAAGATGACTAGGTTTCGAGAGCATCGGCTTTCATTTTCTCGAGTTCCGGCCAAGGAGGCAGCCCATAAAGGCAGCGCAGCTTGTCCCAAACTTCCTGTCGAGCAAGATCATACGCCCCTACCAGATAGTTGCAGCATTTCAGGCAGCAATCTTTTGACAAACCGTCCCATATTCCTGCCAAGTTGCATATATCAAGTGGGACAGGGTCCTTCATCTCCGCGACATAGGTCTGGACTCGGGACAGCGCGCGCAGGCGAGCCATGCACCTATCTTTTCCGCACGTCGCATTGTCATCGATATCGGTGGAGTGAAGAAATTTCACAACATGGTTCTCCAGGCGGGATAGATGTAAACTGCATGTAAGGAATAGGGTTTCGTCGTCAGCACTTAGTTTCCCGGGTGGCTGTTGAAATTCGTGTGCACTGTAGGGTTGCTTTGGATGTGGGGCTCAAGGGATTCAAACTCCGACCGCTCATCTCGTCTCATTTCTTCGTCAGTCTAAGTACATGGATACTCCAGTCCAGTCCATAACGTAGCATACAAGCCGCCACCATCCAAGTAAGGCGCGCGCAAATTACTGCGAAGTGTACCATAGTATAATCGTCAATGGTTGTAAATGGGAGTGTCTCGTCGCCGGCGCTAAGTGGTAATCGGTAAGTAGCTGTCGCATCATCGCGCGCCCTCCTCCCTCCGCCCTCAATCAAGCATCACCCTCCTCCTCCTCTCCTCATCGCTGCCTCAGCATCCCTCCCTCACTGCCTCGGAATACTATCATACGTCGGCGGAATCTCCTGCGGCGGCTCCGGCACGCGTCCCCCATCCGTATGCACCAGTACCCCGCTCCCGGTGCCGATGCTCCCTTGGCTCTCGGGCGAGTGCGGATTCGGCAGCGCGCCAAACCCCGCCTGGCTCGCGGGCATCGGCATGTGCATCTGCCCCATCTGCGGGGCCCCCGGCCCGGGGTTCGCGACCGCGAACGCGCCCGACCCGCGCGCCTCGCGCTCCTTCGCGCTCATCGGGTTCGGGTAGTACCCGCCCGACGACGACCCGCCGCTCACGCTCGCCGTGCCCGCGTGCGGCCCCGCGTGCGCAGACGACGACGCGGGGTACAGGCTCGTGCTCATCGTCGACGGGCTCAGCGGCGCCTGCTCGCCCTCGTGCCCGCCGCCGGCCCCGTAGTACGCGTTCGCGGGCGTATATTGCTGCTGGTGCTGCGGGTGCCCCGCGCCGCCCATGAACGGCGTCAGCACGCCCCCGCCCACCGCGCTCGCCGCCAGCCGCCCGCCCACCCCGTCGTCCTCCGCGTACCCGTCCCCGCCGCCGTCGAGCTGCGGCAGCGTCGGCCCCGCGCCCGCCGTCGTCCGCCCCGGGTCGAAGTTCCCGTCAAACTCCGCCCGCTTGCGGCGCTCGCGCGCACGGCGCATCAGGGCCCACACAAGGACCGCGAGGAGAAGGAGGAGCGCGACGCCGCCGACGACGCCGCCGGCGATGGCGCCGGTATGGTTGGTCGCAGCGGTGGTGACGTGGGTAGTGGGCGTGATGGTGGTACCGGCGGGGACGGTGGAGGTGACTCGGACGGTGTTGGTTACGACGACGCCGTTGGAGGTTGATCTGGGGAGAAGGAAGTTAGTAGGGACGCGAGTAAGGTACAAGGGAAGGAAGCAAGGAACGAAAGAACACAAATGAGAAGAGAACGAATGTGCAGTAGGTAGAAGCGCCTTAGCGATGAAGGGGTGTCCTAAGAGTACGTCCCCAGGCGCTGCTTGCATCGTGAAATCCAATGTACACAGTTCCGCAGTCGCTCATGACGTCACCGCGCCTTCCCGCCAATTCGGTGGGATTTGAGAATTCCCCATCCCACCGGACACGGACGAACGATCAGCCTGAGCCTACACTGAGGCGAAGCGAGGTGGATGGAGCGGTCGAAAACCGCTGCTCGCTCGCTCGAGGACGAGAATACGGCTCGGCCTCGGACATCGGACGCCGGTCGGGGGCATGCACCGAACGCGTGGGCGGATGAATGCGAAACGCGACGGCTGGCCGTGCGGGACGGACGGACGGACACACTCGAGTCTCGAGATATCCGAAACGGATGGGTCGGGGCGGGGCGGGGCGGGACGAGGGTGAAACCTGCTGTGGAACGGTGGAAGATGGGGAGCGGGGTGCAGGAGGCGTGAATGTCGGAGTCGGCGACGAGGCAGTCCATCGAGTCCAGAGCGTGATGCGAGCCGACGCGCGGAATGGATGGGCCTTGCTTGGACGAGCCCGAGGCATGTGGCGACCAGCTTCCCAGACACCCCGCATAACGAGCCCAGCCCAGCCCAACGTGGTCGCCCCATGCCCAACGCAGGCGAGAAGGCCCAAGGGAAGCAATCGGTCCGTGTGGCCCCTCGGTAGATAGATAGGTGTCGGGCATGATCGGAGTCATGACGGATGGGGCAGGCCGAAACGAGGTCCAGAGCAGTCGACGGGCAGGGGCAAAAGAATCCAGCGACGCAAATAGCAGCAGAACGAAAAACGAGAGAGAAGAAAGGGAAAGGATCGAAAGAATGAAAGCGAATGAAGGCAAGAAAAATACGCACAGAACCGCCGACTCCCCCACGCTCACCGACGGGCTCGCCAGCACCGTGGGACTCGAGACCGAGGCTGGCGCCGACGACGACGAGCCCGGGACCGAGCCCGGGACCGAGCTGCTCGACCCCCCCACCGCCGGCGCCACTTGCGCTCACGCTCACACTGCTTCCACCATTCCCGCTGCCACTTGCGCTGGCACTTGCGCCGCTGTCGCTTGCCGAGGGCGTGGGCGTGCTGAACGGGTCGGACAAGGATGGTAATGCTAGATAAGATGAAATGAAAGAAAATCATCAGTAAGGCACGGAAGACAGGAGGCGAAGGAGAGGAGGACATGAAGCGACAACATCGCTGCTTGGTGGTGCGGGGGGTGGGGACACCGGGGCAGGCGTAGGGATGCTCGAGGACATCGTCGTGGAGCAAGCAGGTAGCTGATACGTGACGCCACGCAAAAAATAGCCCTCGGAACGAGGCAGACACGCCTCGGCGATTGACGGACAGACGGAGATTACTCACATATAGGTAATGACATTTCGGCGCTGCGTTATGTTTTTGGGTCGTTGGATAGCGCAGAGATGGTCGGGGAAGGAGAGTGGTGTGTGTGCCCTTTACAAGGCGTCAGTGGAGCAGCAAAGATGGCTAGATCCAGATGTCTCAGGATCCACGTGAGATCTGCATAGGCGGCCCGGTGACCGCGGCAGTAGCCGGTTGTGTTGAACCGCACTTGAATTGCAATCCATCTGAATGGCCTTTTCAACTTGAACCACTGCTCTCCGAGGCGCACTCACGTTGAATACAAATTTCCAACCCCCTCAGCTTTCGGCCAAAAGAAAACCACTTGGAAATGATTAATCCGGACACAGGGAATCGAACCCAACCCGCCTTGGAATCCCTGCTTGTCAATGGATAAAGTTCAAGGCTGTGCACCATACACCAAGTCAGATTTATGACTGGAGGCGGGCCATCCCATTAACCAGCATTTTTGCCATTCAAATTCCGAGGTAGGTATAATTCGTCGAAGATGGCAGTGATATCAATCAAGTTTCGATCGGCGGTTGAACATTCTTCGGCCCCGATTAAAGCAGCCTCCAAGACCTCAATCAGGCAAGACATGTAATTATTCATCCTGGACCGGCACAGGACCAAGGTTTTTTATGTAAACAAAAACAAAAATCAACGTAGAAACACCAATCGGACACAGGGAATCGAACCCCATCCTGCCTTGGAATCGCACTTCTTGCTGAGATCCTATAGTTTAAGGCCGTGCGCCATACACCAGATCCGATTCATTACTGGAGTGACCCTTCCAATTAACAAACATTATTTTGGCTATTCAAATTCTGAGGTGGGTAGGATTTAACATGCCATCGAAGACGGAGCTGACCATGTTTTTGATTGGCGGTATGAACATTCTTCAACCCCATCTGAATCAACCTCCATTAGAATCCAAGACTGAACCACGGCAAGGCGGGACATGTAGTTATTCTGGACTGGTGTCGGAGCAATAAGCTTAAGGTCTTTGGAAAGAAAAAAACCACCAAATCAAATCAATCAGACACAGGGAATCGAACCCCGTCCTGCCCCGGAATTCCTTGACGGTTGGGAATCTGAAGGGGCAATGCACCATACACCATGGCCAATGCATTATCAATGAGATGAGACGCACTACTATAAGAGAGCATTTCAGGTGCCGGGGGCTGTTGAACTGAACCACACCATGAATCAAACCAAATTGAAGTCCGACAAACCAAGATGCACATCAAAGGCCCCCTCATTGTCCGATAGCCGCAAAATTCGAGTCAAGTCAAGACCCCCTCAGCTCTTCGGCCTCCTTTCGGCAAAACAACAGGAGAACAATTCGGACACAGGGAATCGAACCCCGTCCAGCCCTAGAAATTTAGAGTGGCTACTGGTAAGGTAGGTGTCAGTCACTCACAACGAGCGGTCACATGACCAAAGCGTGACAGCAACAAAGCTCTGGCCACAAAATATTTAGACACAAAGTAAAGCCGAGAAATGGTGTATTTAGGTCCTGTGGAGACATCCTTGGTTTCAGATTTTCAAAATATTCATTATTCATGGAGGAGTACAAGATTTTCTAACCCATTTTTTTTGAAGTGCAGAAATGTTTGTTTTGTCGATTGGAGATGATTTGGGTTCTGGACATCGTAAATTTTGCCGCTTAGGTAAGATTCTCACGCACCATATAAGGCAATGTTGCAGGAAGAGAACAAGATCATACCGTTAACTTGCTGCCAACTGAGGAATAACAGTGATGCGCTATATTCTGTTTGGTGTACCAGTCTGTGAAAGTACTCAAATATTTCAATTCTGAGCAAGCTTGGTGAGATTATGTTCTGAAAAAAAAAATGAGCCTCCAAAACATGAAATTTGGCTGATTTCCAGCATGTTTGTTTGAGCTCTCGAAATTTTGCCGCGTGACCGTGATGTGACAAGGTCATGTGATCGCTCGTTGTGAGTGACTGACGCCTACCTTAAATATTCAGGGCGGTGCACCATACACCATGTCCGATTCATTGCCCTTATGCAGTGGATGTCCTTATGAGTCCTTTTCTATGAGACACTCATAGGCGTGTTGAACTGAAATGAAACCAAGTTGTTGCAAGTCCAATAAACACAACAGAAACAAGATACACATCAAAGCCCCTGTCCGATAACGGCAAAGTCAAGACCAACAACATAAACAAACTGGTACCCCAAGTCTTCCGGATCCAAAAAGCTGCATGACTAGACCATTTGGAGGGAATTGAACCCTGCCCAGCCCTAGAAACTTATCCGCTGCTTATAATATTTCAGGGCAGTGCACCATACATACACCATGTCCGACTCATTATCCTTATGGAGTGGATGTCCTTATGGGAGCATTTTTGATGTACATTAGGGTCTATTTAATGAGGGTGAGATTCAACAAACTGGAGACAGATAAGCCGAAGCTATTCCGGTTCCCTACACTTGTAAAGCCTCCCTGGAAACAAAACCCTTTTGCCGCCCTTTGATTCCCAAAAAAGATGATGCAATACCCCTATTCGGACACAAGGAGTCGAACCCCATCCTGCCGTGGAATCCACACTGTTCCCATTTATAAATTTCAAGGCTGTGCACCATACACCAGATCCGATTTATTACTGAAGGGATATGCCATTGACAAGCATTTTGAGCATTCAAATTCAGAGGTGGGTGGGGTGTAACGGGGGCTGATTATATTTTAATTGGCGATTGAACATTCTTCAACCCTGATTGAATCAACCTCCTTTGGATTCCAAGACCTCAACCAGGTGAGGCACATAATATCCTGGATTGACACCTATAGGACCACCACGGTCTTTGGAAAAAAAAAAGAACACAATGTCTATCAGACCAGATACAGAGAGTCGAACCCCATCCTGCTCCGGAATTCACTAGTACTACACATATTGAAATGGAGCAATGTGCCTTGCACCATGACCAACTCATTCTCAAGATAAGACCTGCTATGTATGATGAGAGCCCTCCTCGTGAGACAACCACCACTAGTGTCTGAGATTTCTAAAGTCAAGAAATCAAACCAAGTTGTTGAAGTCCAACAAACACAATGCTCTGCAGACAAGATACATTCCAATGGAAGGTGCTGTCCAATAATCACAAAGTCAGGACCAACCACATAAATAAACCCCAACTCCCCCATCCTGCTCCAGATATGTTGATGAACTGTGACGGTGTATGGACAAGGGATGTGGCTGAGTGCCACTACTCACAGAACTCATGGCATACCATAGACTTAGCTGTATATTTGTCTGATGGCTCGTTGATCCGAGATCAATACTTACCTAATACATTGCTTTTCTGCTACTGTACTATTTCATTCAATTTGTTGTCACATGTCACACCCACTTTTTTTTTATTGCAGCAATAATTTTTTCTCAATTTGTCGGATTTCTTTTGGATTTTAATTATATCAAAAATTCCGAATCAAACACAAATTGATCAAAATAGTACAATACTCTCTGCTATATGTGAAGACAGAAACACTTGGTGCACTCTCACCCTGAACCTGCTGGATAGTTGAGGATCTGTATAACTACTCTCACCGCCCTCGAGGTATCATACCAATAGATAGAGCTCCAGGCCCGGTGACAGGCCCTTAGCTGATGGGTTGCAGCAGCAGGGAGGGCCTGAGTTGGTGCCTCCCAACTACCTTAGCTATGCCAGACACAATGTCTGAGTGCACTTACCTCCAGCCTGGCAAGGCCAAATGACCCACATCACAATGAAGCCCACTGTGAGGGCTTCACCAGGGCTGGAGAAGTGGAGGGAGGGCAGAAGTACTCAGTTCTTGAGAGAGTGAGCAGCTGGCTGCCCCTTCTTGTAGGACAGGGGAGGCATATGGATCCTCTGCACCCCTCATGCACATTAGATGCAATGAGAGGGGGTTGGAGGGTGGTGTCTCGCTGTGCTTTGCCTAAAGCAGCACTGGGATTGGGGTTTTCTTCTCCTGCAAGTGTGAACACAGCTTTCCCAGGGATGAGTGTGCATGCCTCGCCCTGACTGAGCCTTCCTCAAACCCTTGGTATGGACAGCTGACAGCCGAAGCTGGGAAATAAGAACCTTAGTGATGTTAAGGTTCAGTTCGATCTAGGTTCAATGTCAGTGATGGCACTTAGGTCAGCTTGGCAGATGGTGCAAATCCCATAAGGACAAGATTTCCCTCTATGGATAAAATGAGCTCTAGTAGCTTGTGTGTTCTCCAAGCAGGAGAACAAGTTGAATAGCTTTGGGGTTTGGATAGATGATAATCCGCCACTGAGGAATCAGTGGGGGGAACTGCTGAGTACTGAAGGTGCAATAATAGACACCATGGATGTAGGCAGGATATGGGATATGAAAGTGTAAGAGTTGGAATAGATGAGAATCAAGTGAGTCCAATATGCCAAACTGAAGTAGGCCTGAGACTAGACAAGGTAGAATATAATGTACATGATTCTACCTACTGTAGTATTACAACCAAAGTTTCAGGTGACAGGTGACAGGTGGTTGTGAACTGAACAATTTTGACCTAGGTGACGGTGACTGGGTGATTTTGGGGCCTAAATAGGCGAAAAAAACACCAAAAATTTTGGCCCGGCATCCGCCAGGCTACCATATATGGGAATTTTCTTGTGATTGCCGAGGAATGAACATGAAGCCCAGTGAACATTTGGAGTGATGGGTCACACCCCATGAACCTTTGGTCATAATACTACAGTATAGGTTTTATAGAAAATATATCTAGAGGTTATGGAATATAATAAGTGTGGACATTCAGGGTTAATAGGCTTGGAGACTGAGAGGAGTACTCCCTGAATGTTGCTCCTTTCCTGCAATATATTCCACCCCTAGCCAAGACCCGATACCTCAGGATTTAGGAGGTGTGAGGAGGATGTATTCCCCTGTATCAGAATAATCCTCCAGGGTTGCATCATCTACAATTTCAACGTGTGGCTTTGTGAGTATATTCCTCAAGAGGTGGGTGGCCAAAAATGCCGAATATCAACCTCTTTTCAGACTTAAGTTGGGAGTCCAGTCTGACCCTTTTTGGGTTTCAATACACATCTGGTCGAACTTCTGTTTTCTCGTCCTGCAACAAGCCCATTTATAGAACATGATTGAGAGATCCCCCCATAACTGTGTCTTCCAAAGCGACTGGAGAGGTTTTCATAATATTTTGGGGAAGCTGAAGGACAATATTCAATGATTCGCCATTAGTTGCGTTGGACTGGAAAAGCGAAGTTGACTGATGTTCAGCTTCTGCCGACAAAAATTTGGTCGCGGAAGGCAGTCCTCAGGTAGTCGGTCCAATCAACCGCTCAGCTAAGGGGGGGGAGGGGGGTATGTACAGCCACCAACTAGATTTCGGAGGTTGATATCCAGGAGTTTCGATCTGCCCACCTCTTGACATTCCTTGCCATCACCCCACCCAGTCCATTCACTTTGAGCAGGAGATTAAAGTGCGTGCACAGTCAATATTCTTCTATCTGTCTTCCTTACTCTCACTCAGATAGAGCTGTGCAAGGTAATTTACATTGAATACCAGTCTACGGTGGACTGGAGAGGTGCCCATAACATTCTGTGTTGCAACTCAAAGTTTCATGGGGCTTCTCGGTTTGATTCTGTGATCTACAAGACCAACGACGACTTGCTGGCCATGGGCCAGCTGCAACTTATTTTCTGGTGTCATCTCCCAAATGGCACCAAGCTTGACCTCACTATGATTCTTCTGTTCCACAAAACATTTTGGCACCCTAAAACCCCCCACTGACTGCCTGATTCAGGAGGTGTCAACACAGTCGTTGATTTTCATTGCACTGGAACACATTGTACGTGGGGTTCTATTGTGCCCGATTTTTGGTGCGAGACAAAACATGCATTATGTCATTGATTGTATTGACCAGACATATACCTACATGTCAATAATATCCTGCAACTGTGTTTTGTTACACGGCAGAAAAGAAATTCAACAAGACCCCCACCTGAGTCATCCCAAGGCGCCTCAAGGCTTGCATTCCTTGTGTCGGCTTGGGACACCTTGCAAGTGCCTTGTGGCTGCTTGGAAGGCACCACTGAGTGGCTTGCAACCACTTGCAATCTGTCTCGAGGTCACAAG